GGCTATCAATAGCTTAGTTTCTTGGCTATCAATAACTTAGCTATCAGGCTATCGATTGCTTAGCTATCAGGCTATCAATAGCTTAGCTATAAGGCTATCAATAGCTTATCTATCAGGCTATCGATAGACTGGCTATCCATAGCTATTAAACCCTCCTCTCCTCTTCCTCTCCTCCTCCTCCTCTTCCTTCTCCTCCTCCTCCTTCTCCTCCTCCTTCTCCTCCTCCTCCTCCTTCTCCTCCTCCTCCTCTCATCCTCTCGTCCTTCTCCTCGTAGCTACCCGGCTACACGCTATAAAATTTCATTCACTCATAGTTCTAGTTTATTATTTCATCCAGAGGAGGATGAGGAGAGGAGGAGGAGGAGGAGGAGGAGGAGGAGGAGGGGGAGGAGGAGAAGGATATTAATAATAATATTACGCAAGTGATAAAACGAGGATTTACAAACAGCAGATATCTGTGTTTTAAGAGATAACCAGATATTTGCAAAGTACCAAGTGGAGGTCCATTGGTATATGTTGAAGATAGAACAAGTACCTCAGTTTTATCACTGTCAAGTTTCAATTTGTTCATACGCATCCAGTTATCTATATCCTCAACACAAGATTACATTTTTAATTTGGCATGTTCTAGCTCAATCAACGATGATGTCGAGAAGGTTATATACAGTTGCGAGTCATCCGCATATAAGTGAAAGTTTACATTATAACTACGAACAATATCACCAATAGGTGCAGAGTACAACATAAAAAGAATTGGTCCTAATACAGACCTCTGAGGAAGTCCTGATTTGACATTTCTCAGTGTAGATTGGCCTGATCCTAGACATACTGTACAATGCCTATCAGACAAATACGACCTAAACCATTGAAGACCAAGACCAAGACCACGGATACCATATCTTGCTTATAAACCATACACAGGAACCTTGTTTGGGCTGCCTGTGACTCGTCAAATCGTCAAATTGACGTATTTTCAAAAATATAACTAGACGCTATTTCAGCGTTTACTCGGGCTTTCTTGAGGAAGGACGGCGCAAGAACGTCTGACCACGTTATTTTCTGTTGAGTCACTAGTCATAGTTTTTGCAGTCTTTTCGAGGTTTGTGCTCGAATATAGCTCATTTGTTGCCTCGTGAGGACTAGTACGAATTTGGCTAGTAAGCTTACGTGTTTTCAAAGATTTCRACGCTTTCAAGCTTAATTGTGGGCCTACCACGAATGGCGAGTGCGTTTGCATGTGGGATGGTCGTATAAAGCATGGCYCTTTTCAAAGATTTCTGCACGCAACAACTTTATAATCACAAGAACCGAAGCAGAAGGAACGACGAAGCATGCGGTTATGATTCTCATCCCCCGAGTTCCCAGCGACTAAGCTCGGAACGCCTGGAAACATGACCCTCATTTTGTCGACCAAATACGAGGACAAAGAACTGCATTTTTAGACTCGGGTTCCTACGGAGCCCGAGTAATCAACCTAGTAGGATTCACAGGACATGCTTAGTTCTTTACGTCCAAGGTAGGTACTACGGATAAGTATTAAGTAATATTTGAAAGCCGACAATGAGGACTGGACGGGATTTCAAGTCAAAGCAACTAATTGCGCGGACTTGAAATCCCGTCCAGTCCGATATTGGAGGCTTTGAAATGACTTCTAATCTCATTAATAATTCGACTTGGAGTAACTGGAACAAAATTAATTCAGTCCTAGGACTGAATTAATTTTGTTCCAGTTACTCCAGACTGAATGCATTCCTTTCACAGCACTTTACCAGGTTTCAAGTAACATCATGTGACCCAAAAATAGCCCATTGATTGGCTGGTTTACTCATGAATCATTAATGAGTATGAGAAAACATATGYGAGGCCTTTAGGGGTAGGWTTCGCTTAAGACTCTCTCTTCGCAAAACTTTAAACAAAACCCCGTAAAACTATATATCGTTTAAAAGCTCATGTAATAGAGATTTAGAAAATAATATTATTTGAAAGCGATTTTTTAATTTCAAAAAAAAAAACAAACAAAAAAACCCGAGACTGTGCAAAAGGCTTAGTATTCGTTCGGTATACGCTTGAAAATGGATACGCATACCTCAAGTGTTCAAAGAAATCCGAGGATGTTCATACCCGAGGAACGCTTTGCCAGTCATATTATTCGAGTTGAATACAGACTCTTTTTCCATTTTCGACTGGTATACTCATGGCAAACCCGAGGATTTTCAATTAGGAAACGCTAGTATACGGAGAGACCGATACATTTTAAATGGGTATGCAAGACTCATACTTCAGGTTACAGGAAAAATGCAAGAATATTCTAGACTTTTTWACGTTTGAATATTGCGTATTTCATTTGAACACGTAGATATATTTTGTTTTGATGTATGGCTGTGACGATCAGRCCAGAATGTTAGTTCTTTTCAGGTTATCGAGGAGTGAGGTGTAACGTTTAATTTTTATTAGAACGATGAACACAATCATAATACATATTATGGAATACTGGATATCTATTGKTTTGCTGTAAGAAATGTTTATTAAAAAACATCGTAAATGCTTCCATCCATAATCAAAATACTTTTAAATAGAGATAACAATACAATAACATCCTGGATTATGGATGAATATTCATACCAAAAATCGTTTTTATTATTCCGAGCACAGGCATTTTTTCTAACTTGAACAATTCAAACAGTATACAAAAAATCAGCCCTTTCATGAGAAATATAAACATTATGACAACTTATTAAGTTGTGCATTTATTTTTCATAAAAGAAATATAAAATAGTTTTCCAATATTATATATACTTTGATCTTCTATTCATTATGGTTTACTACGCTACTAAATATCGTGTTATTTCAAATCTGGATTGTTTAGATCAAAATAGCTAAAACGGAAAACAGTTTTATACTATCTTAAATATCTACTAGGAAATTCATTTCATCAATAAATAGGCATTATATBTTATATCTCTAATGATAGGCAATTTACCTTTACATAATAAAGATTTAGATTTAGATTATAAGCATAAAAATGGTATAAAAATTGAAAAGGGCATATAAAAAGTATCTAAAAATGTATGTAAACAACTTAAAATTGAGAACGATTATTATCTTAATCCAACAGTTTGGAATACTTTCTGGTCAATGTAATTAATGTACTTTTAACTTGAATGATCAGAAACTTTAAACTTATATAAATACTAAATTTTTATATCGAGAAAGATATATTTATATWTGCAAAATAAAATTCTGGAACTATAATCTCATATTCTTAATTACAACTAAATAATAATATCCTGATGGCAAATTAAAGTTTTTTGGCATCCTTTTTGGCGCCTTTTTTGGAGATCTTGACGTTGACCTCGTGATCCTGCGGGGACAGTGTCTTTYGTTCTTTTTCTAAAAGAGCAAGGTATATAAAATGAGACATTTATAGAACTATAATTGCCTTTTTCTTTCGCCTAAATAAATAAARTTTAAGGAGACTTTCCCCCTGACCATGCCTAAGTAAAGAAAAGTATATATGAAAAAGAAAAAGTATCCACTGAACTTACCCAATCTGAGGCTCAGGTCAAACGTCGAACTCGGCTGAACCTAATTGCAACTATAGATAACAAGGCAGTCTTCTTTGATGTCATTAGGTTTGCTCATGTAAAGTTCGACGGTTTGCTCTTTAAAGTTTTAAGCAGATAATTATATATTATCTGCTTAAATCTTCTCAAAATTTTAATCAAGTAATCTKGCTTAGGTGTGGCACTTATTTGAGAGAGTAGTTTAATTTGGAAGGGGGGGGGGGGTGCTTAAAATGATTAAATACAGTGTTTTTGGAACCGAGTTGTAAAGCTGTATGGTGTTACCTTTTTGTCCTCCGCACCGGAGATGGACTTCTGGATTCTGGAATCTTGAACTGCCTTGATTTCTTTGTATAGAAAAAAATGAGAATCATATTAATACTTAAATCTTATTATCCGAGCGGGAGGTCTGTACGGGATAATCTTGATCGAGGTCTGTACCCGACCGAGGTCAAGATTATCCCCTACAGACCGACCAGGTTCGGTTGATAAGAGTTTTATTATGTGACCACTTTTCATTGAAGGGGATAAATTTCATTTGCGCCTTTTTTATTTATAAACAAACCATTTTTGGAAGCGCGCGTGTATATTACACTCAAATAGCTTCCTAGTGATTTTACTGAAATACCAGTTATAAACCAGTTTGACAAGAAGTGCGAAGGCAAGTTATTCAATAGAACTTACAGATATCAGAAGGCAAAAACTACTCAAAAAGGGATATTCTTTAAACTCAATCCTAAAGAGGAGGCAATCAAAGCAAGCATAAATGTTCAATGTTATCTTAAAACACTAAGAATCAAGCTCATCATGGTTTTGAGGCTGTGCAGACTTTTGGCAAAAGACATTCACATTGAACGTGCAAACTTCAAACTTCTCGATATTTGCTCCTGAAAAGATGGCTTGTGGCTTGAAATTWGCATTCTGCACCAGTAGGGAAATTGAAGCTTTCAGAGTCTGAACGGCGGTTACTGTACATGAAGAGGTCGAAGGAGCTGAACCATTGCTCAGGATGGCTGACATTGCTCTTTGGTTCTGGAGGAACGCTGATTTATAACTATCGAGGCTTTTCAGATTCTTATGACCGCTTAATTGTGCCACGTAGTTAGCTTCCATATTTGCATCAATCAAGGAGCCTGCCGATGCTAGTTTTACGTACRGCATGGTTGGTCAGTTTTCTCTTGAGGCCTTGCTGATTCTCCTTACCAAGAACCGCTTCTGTTGATTCTTTCAAGAACTTGAGTCTTAGAGTCTGAGTTTTTGAGTCTTACATACGAGAGCGCTCTCAGAAAGTCGTACTTGGAAATACCGAGTCCAGTCCTCAGCTTATGAAGTCCGGCGTAGCTCAAGGTTCGGTGCTTGGCCCACTGCTGTTTATCTT